TTCAATGAACATCTGAACAGCTAAAGTCTGTATACCTTGATTTGCAACACTTTCATCCAAATTTCCTGCAGAACATCTTTCTTTGTTGTTGGAATGATTTACTCCCTTTTTATCACCATTATTCCTTCTGTCATTATCATTATCTGTACAGTATTTTGGTCAGCGGCTTTTATTTAAGCGTAAATATTGTCGTGTTGTACCAATTCACAGTCACTTGTATTGAAATTTGAAGCGTCAGGCCTCTTGGTCAGATATAGAGTTCAAGATTGTGATAATTTTTCGATGACGTTCCAGAGAAGATAGCCTTTTCCAGGCCTTCTACTATCTGAATGCCTGGAACAGGCTACAGAGAAGAAAAAAAATGGATTTGTGAAAGCAGATGTTAAGTAAGTGATCGTTTACATTTTTTTGCGGAATATTTTGATTTAAACCCGTACCCTTCCACGAATACAGTTTATGCTCGGTCTGCATTTTACACTCAGTCTGGCATTTTACCCCCGGTCTGCTGTCTGCAGTCCGCAGTCTGCGGTTTACACTGACTGGTTTTCCACCTATGCAGTATCTACTTTTCTATTTGCTGCGTTATTAAAACCTTCTTTTATTGATGCTTTGATCAATTTTTTTTCTGTTTCACTCCAAATGGTGGCAGTTCTTACTGTTACAATTTTGATTGTTTCTTTTAAGTGGCTCTAACTGTACTCAGTAGATGGTTTTACTTTGGTGATTGTGTAAAGATTGAAAACTTGTCCATACATTGCACTCTAAAGAATAGCTGAGCCGAGGTCAGACAAGAAAAACAAGAGAGGATGGGAGAGAGAAAAAAGCAGAGAGAATATCCCGCATTCAACCCAATGAGAATTTTGAAATGCCTCTTCCATTCATGTGTGGCTTACAATGTGATTTCTGTGTGATATCAATGTCAACTAAAAACATGTGAAATAATGTGGAACAACCTTTGCACATAATGCCTGCCTGACAGTTTTCTACAGGAAACAAATTAATAGGCCTTAGTTCACTGTAACTCGACAAGCAAACACCAACACGTTAAAATATTTTACCTGCATAACTACACACTATACTACATGTACAAGTGAAAGTAACCTGCTAAGTCACTTATCATCACTGCTACTGTAGCTAGACTACAGTCTAGGTTTTTATATGGATAAGTTAAGTTTTAGAAAAAAAGAGAGCTTAATTATAAAAGTACAGCTGCAAGCTTACAATATTTACTTATTTCTCTATTACAGTTCCAAGTGGACCTGATGATGAGAGGTGTATTGACAAGATCAAACTACAGTTGTAGTAAAACTTTACAGGTATTTACCATTTCCCTATCTACAGCCGTATGTTGTATGCACTTTGAATGTTTGACATCCACTGATGGTTGGTTGACATTCTATGAGCCAATCAGAAATGCTGTTTGGTTCATCTGCTGGGGAACAGAGTTCAAAAACCCTTGTGGGATTGAATACATGTGTCTTTTTTTTCTTCCTATTGCCCCCAAGCCCCTCCCACCCTGTTTATTCGTTGGACAAGGACTCATGGCCATATCCCACTTTACAAACCACAAACAAAAAACAAAAACAAAAAAAACGGTTGAAAGGTGAGCTAAATTCTGTTTTCCAGAGAACTCATTGAATTACTGATTACAAAAAAAACCATTGCCTATAAATTATGCTAGTGTGACAAAAGAGAGTCAAGTTGTATGAATGACCTTCATACGGTTTAAGAAAATTCCAAACAGTTACTTGTATTTAGTAAATTAATAATATACTAGTTAAGTATCACAGTGTAAAGAGAGAAAAAATATAATGTCAGCTTGGTTTTGGAGGGTGACTGGCTGTTCATTTTGTCCTCAACAAACTCAGCCGCATGAAACTAAACTGGCTGTGTCTATCTTTCATTCTTTGAAGCATATAAAAATTATGAAAGAACTGAATAAGATGTGTGAACTTCTTGTTTTACATAGTAATGAAGTGTGTGGTTTAAAGAGGCAATTTACACCCTTTAATTGTTGAGAGATCTAGCTGTGGACAGTTTGTTGGGGGTTTGCTCTTGGGAAAATAAACTGCAAAAAAGTGGCATTTTTTATCCTATTTTGACAACTGTTATCTGAAAGTAGTAAAGCTTAAATAAGCTTAAGACTTATGACTTGGCAGTCATCAACTAAATTCATAACAACCAACAACTAAATATTTGCGCTGTTATTAAATGCAAATAGTTTTTTAAACGCATTTCCTTTAAGCTCCTAAAGTCGAAACATATAATCTTACCAAAATTTGAATCAAACAACATTGAAAGTTAGATTTTCAAACTCAACCGAAGGCACGAATCTGGTCATCGAACAAAGTGTAAAGACAACCAATGTAAAGCCTTGTTTTCTTTATTATTTTCATTTCTGCTAAAATTATGTTCTCGAAGAATACAAAAAAATTCGGTTGCATTACTTCTCTTCCGCCTAATCATCAAAATTTTGTACGCACTGATTCCAGCCATGGTTCGGTTCGCGTTTGATTTGCTTCTGGTTTGAAAAGGTGTTGCTGACAGTGCAACCCTGGGTCTGCAACTCTGAGAATATTAAACTCCGCGAATAACACCAGAAACCATTTAGTTTAAAATAAGTCATAGCGGATATCCTCTGTCATGTACAATAATACATCGTAATAATTAATATGACGTTTCTGTGGAAACAATTAAAGTAAGCTTAAGATTATTGCGCGTTCAAAAACTTCCGACTCGTTATTTTTGTATAATTAAGGCTCAAAGTTCGATTTCCGAACTCAAACGAACTAAACCTAACTATGACTGTTCGATTTTGTTCGATAAAATTCGATTTGGTTCTATTTCCTTCGGGCATGGAACTCAATCGAACACAACTGAAATGCATCGAACGAGTTCGGTGGATTTTTTGTTCGGTGTACTAGTAAGTTAAGCTCTCATATCATACGCCGGGAGGTATTCCATGCACAATTTTATACAAAGCGTTTCGCATAAGAGGTTCATTTAGCTCACGTGGTAGTAAGATTATTACTCAATTTGTCTTTTTCTTTAATGTTTGAAAGCAGAAGTAGTAAATACTTGTACTTACCGAGCCAAATTTTGTCACATTCTTAATTAACTTCCTTGTCTCGACAATACACTATTCAAATATGGCGGCCCAAATTTACCGCCACAGACCGCGCCGCACGACACCACAACCTCGTCCCCAGGGTCTTCTCGTTTTCCAAATAAGGAGGCGAGGGAGCACAGCAGAATCACGTGACCGATTTGTGCAGGGCTACCAACAATCCCCCGAAATCAATGATGATGAAGCCGCGCAAAAAACCAAAACGCGCCATTTTCTCACCTTTGATTCGCGGGAAGGGTGGGGGTTACAAATTTTCCATCTTTCAAGCTCTCCGATCCGAGGCGCTTTGGGGCAAACTTTGGGGCGAGGCGGGAAAAGAAAACGAAGGAGAGCTTGCCACTACGTCTCTGGAATTTGAATTCCCCCTCCAATAGAGAGGAGAAGTCGTTACGTCACGTTGCCATGATAGCTAAATTTTCGGATGACAACAAAACGAAAACGCCACTTAAAAAGTGAATTCGCACTGATTCAAAGTTCATTGATCTTATTCAGTTTCATTTAATTTGTAAAATCTTGGCGAAATTGTCGGGGGTTGAATCCGAAAGGACGGTATCTGAGTTGATCTGAGTTGAGAAAAAGAAAAAGGAAATTCTTGTGCTGTGTTCACTAGCCTGCGTAGCTGGCGGTATGGTGTAGTAGGTGAGTGAGATTTGGCCGTCACAATCCGCGTAAGCCGCGAGAAATAGGAATTTCAAACGCCTCGTCCCCAATTTGGAAGTTTCAAGTCGCAGACTAGGGACGGTTAGGAGAGAGCCCTGGGAACTAGCTTAGTCTCGTGTAACATCGCCGAGCCAGAGAGACGCTTAAAATAAATGAATGCACGTGCAGGCAACGGGAATACGGTAGAATGATATAGCAATCTTATTTTGCTCTTCACTGTCCCAGACATCACCGACAACGTGTTGGAACAATTGTGACTTAGCTGTCCAATGAAATGTTTTAAAGCTAAGCAAGAGGCTGTAACTCCCTTGCTGTAATCACTTTAATCACAATGGAAAGCAGCAAAAACTGGACACCTTTCTTTTCACTTTAATTTATTTTATTAGAACGATACGCTAAGGTTAATACGTTTGTTTCTCAGTTTTTTTTTGGCGAATAAGGTGGAAGAACTTTAAAAAGCTTGTAAATCATTCGTCTTTGGTTCCTAATTTACCAGGTTTTTTGCGTGTTCACCACCCCCACTGAACCAAACATTCCCCAGAAACGATTTATAAACGAAGAAAATCACTTCAGTACATCAATGCATCGCTCTTCCTTTGTATGCTTTTCGGACTCCGTTCGATTTAAAAGTTTTAAACGAAAATATTTAACAGCCAGCTGTACTATTTCATGCTATTTTCCTCTCTGCCCCAGTTGCGTACCACAGAGCTATAAAATTGAAGAAAAAAATAACTGATCCGCATTCAGTGAAAGTGTGGTTATGTATTCATTTTTGCTTATTAACATAAAAAGTTAAGCCATAGAGGGCGTCACCTTATGCAATAATGAAATTCAAGAGTTGAAAGAGTTGGTTAATTTGAGCAATTTGTGCAATCATCAGCTCTTTGCAAGCAATAGCAAAGAAAAAAGCCTTCGAAAGCTGCGAAATTGCCGGGTGGCAAAAACGCTAATGAGCCCATACATTCTTTGTAAAGTGTCGAGTTTTTCAAAGGTAACTTATCCGAAACTATTTATTTAAACCGGCTCAAATTTTCACGGATAACTGTAATTGTTATGCTCTTTCGATATTAAGAGAGTTTATTTTAATAGCTTGATCAGAGAATGAAATGCATATGCTATTGAGGGGAAAAATGTAAACAAATTTTTCTTCACAGAATTTACATGAAGCATGACCACCGCGACATCAGCTGAAAACTAGCAGTTGCTTATCAACTTAGAAAGTCGTCTTTTCACTGTCCAATCTGGCTCTAGGGAGGCTCACTCTTGAAGCGTCCATAATAATCAAGTCCATGTAATCTTGGTACTCCAAGTTTAGATTGCTGTTCGATTCTCTTCCATTTCTGCTTTCGGGGAAGAAATGACTCCAGTTTGTAGCACTGTTTAGTGACCGTCCTGACATAGCATGGGAGTTTGATATCACCTCACCGTTTCGGTAGTGGAAGTCATAATCTCGAGCCCTTAAAATTACAAATGAACATATTTAGTATACTAATATAATAACACCAACCTGGCGCATGGCCTATCGTCAGCGTATCGCGGTTGGAGTAACTTTTTCTACCCAATGTAAAGAAATCAAATTTGGGAAACCATGGGATTGGTTGGGATATTCAGAGGGAACAAGGTGGAAAAAGTCCCCGTGCTAAAAATCGGGCTGTTAGTGCAATGACTGGTAGGGAGATATTAAGCACCGTTAATATGCTCTGATTACTTCGTACAATCCTTCTGAAATTGCGGTACGATACAGGCGTCATAAGGACTAATCAGAACTATAACAAGATCCTCAAATCTGATTGGCTATCAACTGTCCAGATTTCAGCACCAAAAGAACAGTTTCATAGGACAGTAGGCGTCACGCCCAAGTAATTGGATTATCTCGCACCCAGACCTCTTGTTGGCTCCTAGAACCAAATGACAGATTTCTCTACCCTGTCATATACTTCACAACTAGTGAAATCCCTGCTCTTTTATTTCCCTGAAGCCTGAAAAAGGTACCCCTCTTCGATTGGCACCTCATCGTATAGGCCATTATAGGAAATATCCCCCTCCTCTTAGGGCTGTTACTTTTCAGTATTCAAAAGATACAAGTTAATGGCCACCTTGAAAAACAAAATGTGTTACTTACCTCAATATTTTCTTTAATCTGATGACAGCGATGGAGATAAACAGTATTACAACGAACAGGAATAACACAGCAAAGCACAGAAATCCTATGGCCACATAGAGAACTGTGGAAATAGGAAAGAAACAATTAGTCACCAGCAAACCATAATTGCAACTAAAACAAGCACCCCCTCAATGCATCGATTCTGGGTTTTAGGTTCTTTGTCGAAGCCACATGTGGGATGTGTGAGTCAGTGAAAGGGCTCTAGCCTCCTGCAGTCATGAATGGGGCGAAGAGAAAGCCTTGTAGAAAATGCGCGCAGGGGAGTCCCGTGAGAATAGCAAATAATAGCTGGAGAGGCGTTCCAAATTTTGATCACCATAATGACAATGGATCATGACAGTATCGTTCCTTTTCTTCATGAATTTGCTTCGCTGGAGTAACTTTGATTTTGCCTGGTCGTATCTTACTTTCTGTAATCCCATGGGTTATTAATAAATCTTTCTTTGGTGCTCACAAAAAGGTGAAAGATGCGGAAAGCGGTTAATAAGAATTAAAACTGAGAAAAAACACGCCTCGCTGAGCAACAGAACAAAACTAAGGTTAAGCCAATTTGAACCCAAGTGCATGAGCCATACTTAGGTCTGAGTCTGAGTATGAATTTTACAATTCGATTCAGTTTCTATTTTAAACAAGGGACTTGTTTATTGTCATTTGCGCTTTGGTGAATAGCTTTAAACTTGAATCAGCGAGAGTGTACTGTATGATTCGACTTAATTCGACTTATTTTTATCTTATAGTCTGTTATGCGCATATGAAAATATTTCTATATACGCAATATAATTTTTTTTGATATATTTATTATTGGGGTATTGAATTTTGGAGTCATGTCCGAAATGTAGGTTGTGAGGTGGAAGGATTATGCTTCGTGCACACATTCATCAAAAAATGTCCTGGGTTACCCTCTAGGGGTCTCGTATTGTCTTAGTAATCTCATATCCGCCAACGCTCAGACGGGATATAATTGCTGCTGTTTACGACTTACGGAGATCGTCATCATCAAATAGATCATCCAAGACGTCGCCGCTTGCTAATCCTAAAAGTCAGACAAAAACATGTTATCTGTCAGTGCAGGCAAATAAACTCATCAGTAAATTTACAGTTCTCTACTAGAGTTTAAAGATTTGGCACTTCCTTTCTAATCACTTTATTATTTTTGGTTAATATTGCCACTTTTTTAAAGTGCAGATCTCTCAAACAATATGCCTTATATTTACCAAATCAGCCACTAGCACTTTTCGCGCGTTTTGATTGGCTCCCGTAACTAGGAATATCCTTGGCTATTGAGTTTGCGACCGGAGCCAAGATAGCGTCTCGCTTCGAGGCATTTTCGAAAGACGAAATTTGAGCGATAAATAAAGCAGTCGTACAAACAAATACCAAGAAAGCGACTATCTTTGGCTTGTCGGTGTTTACTGGTAGGTAGAAAATTGTTTTCATGCTGAATTTGCAACAAAATCGTAAAAATCACTTGACAAAATTCCCGGAATGTTTGTAAATTGTGAATAAAGTTCCTACTAAGTAACGTTTTTAATTTACAAAAAGAAAATCTTTTCATTTTTATCCAACTGATTTGCTAAACACTAAAACAACTATCCCCCTCAGGGTATGTGAACAGTGCTAGGTATATACCTCGACGCTTCCCGTCTCGGTATATCCACTATTAGTAAAATCCAACCAATGCTGCGTTCTGATTGGTTGAGCCACTACTAGGCTATATGTTATAGCCCACTAGTTGCGAAAAGCGCCAGCTTTGAAAACCAAAACAATGGCGGGTGAATCGCGTTTTGCTTGCTAAAGTTGTTTTGTCTCGATATTTTTGACCAACTAGTTGGATTTTACGAAAACAATTATTCCTCTCAACCTCATGGACTCTGAGTCAATAGCTCATTCGGCCTTCGGCCTCATGGGCTATTGACGCAGGGCCCTTTCTGGGTGGAGGAATAATTTTTAACTGTTCAACTCAGTCCCCTTCGGGGGATAGTTGTATATGATTCAGCAAAAGCTGGGGGGATTTACCACTCGCGCTGTAAAATTAAAAAAGGATCTGTTGTGGCCCTACAGTGCCAGTTTGGCCGAGGGGAACTCAAAGACTATATTCACACTGGAACATGTAGCTTTTTTCGTGCCGACACGAAAAACTATCCGGTAGTATAGTATGAACACCTATTCGATATGTGAACCTCCAGTTTAGACAGGGGCACCCAAAGTCAATTTTCGGAAAGTATCTGTTCGAAAGACGATTTGAGATCTAAATTTTCGGAACATTTTTTGTAAAATTTCTTGCTTGCCTGCTTCTCCTGGGCTTTTCGAACATCTAAAAAATGGTATAATTGCCCATTTTTTACGGATTTTTACCGTAAAAAGGTCACCTAGAATTTTCGGAAGCCTTTTCCTGGCTGAAATTTTCGAAAAGGTAAGTTTTGATCCCTATAATTTTCGGATCAGTAGACTTTCAGCTAGGAAATCGGAACAGATGGAAAATTTTTAGGGGATAAAAATATGCCTATATCTACCGTTTTAATACTAAAATACATTTAACAATGCTATGTTTAAGTGGTTTTGTACTATATTCTCGTTGGGTGCCTCTGTTTAGAGAACGGCGCGGCGCAGCTTCGCTCTGTTACAGAAATCGCACCGAAATCACCGTTCTTATATATGAACAGAAGCCCTGTGATCCGGTATAGTTTTCGTGCCGGCACAAAAGCTAACCGCTATAGTGTGAACACCTATCCGATATGTGACTCTCCAGGTTAGAGACCGACGCGGCACAGCTTCGCTCCCTTAACTGAATATATTGCGCTGAAATCACCGTTCCTATGTGTGAACAGAAGCCCTATGCAGTATGATTTTCGCGCCTGCGCAAAAGCTATCCGGTATCGTGTGAACAACAGCCAAAGTTTGATATACCGTATTTATTCGAATAAACGCCCAACCTCGAGTTAGCGCCCAGCCTCGAATAAGCGCCCACCCCTCCTCCTCCCAATCAGACTCAAATAAGCGCTCACCCCCAACCCAGCCACTTAAGTGAATAAGTTCCAATAAGAGACTTCCCCGAGGACGAAGTTTTCTTCAGAGTATTTTACAGAAACCTTGCTTTGTTACTTCTTCGCGTTTTGTTATTAGCATTCATTGTTTTGTTGCAAAATAAACATACTTCATTTGCTGAAAATGGTGAAAATATAATAAGCGCCCACCTCAAATAAGCGCCCACTCTCAAGGTCCAAAAATTTAATAAGCGCCCAGGGCGGTTAATCGAATAAATACGGTAAAGCGCTTTCACCCATCTATGCAAATTTACTAGAACAAAAGAAAGTTTTACATAAGAAAAAGGGTCAACTCTCACAGAATTGGTTTGGAACCCCAACATGTTCAACATTTGGAACAGCAACATGGCAGACGGGACTTTATGTGAAAACGCTCTGTAGCCTCTAGTGCCATCGTGAGCTCGATGTGGAATGTAAATATTTTTAGTACATATACGTTGTTTCTTTTCTATTAATTAACCAATGATAATAGAGATGTTAGCGCTTTATAGGTAAGTTAATAATTCTAAATGAAAATGATAATAATAATAATTAACGTTGTTCTTATATATTACTACTTCAGCCCGTGGATCCGAATCAGCCCTTGAAAGTTGAACTGTATCGGCCCATATTAAGATGGCCAAATTAGGCCCAAAAATAGTCAATAAATTCACCCCATCTATGGAGTTAAAACAGACCCTTTTGATTTTATAGTAATGCGCACACTTCAGATCTACTTTAACTTAAAAACATGAATGATGAGAAAGCCCAAATTCAGTATTTTCGACCGTTTCTATTGGTTTGCTGGCCAACTAAGATCACGTACTTCTTACAATGTAATGTACCTCACTTTAACTTGATCTTGGTGAACGAATTAAAGACAAAACAAAACAAACAACGACAGCAACAACAAAACAAAACGAGGGAGACCTAGAGCCTAGCTCCTAACTTGTAAACACAACTGATAAAGATGCACAACCTTTCTCATTCTCTAACACCCTCTTTTCCCATCTGCCTCCTTATCTTTCTACATACGCCATGTCACCTTCTATACGCAAGTGTCTCTTTCGTTTAGTTTCCCTTTTATCCTATACACCTCTCTCTCCCCCGAGCTTTTCCTCCCGTCTAAGATGCAAAACCTTTCTCCTTCTCCCCCCCCCCCTCTCCCCATCTGCCTCCTACCCTCTCTTCACACGCCATGTCACCTTGTCTACGCAAGTGTCACTTTCGTTTAGTTTCCCTTCTCTCCCTTACCCATCCCTCTCCCCAGAGATCTTCCTCCCGTCCTCTTTCTCCACACTCCATGTCACTTCTCGTCTACACCAGTGTATCAGTCAAATTCCTTCTCTGAACTCCAAGGGGTGGGGGAAAGGAGCCTCCCATATAAAAGTAACGAGGTGCTCTTCGTCTCGCTTATGGTGCAAACGAAGCCTCCTATAGGGTTTTCAGAACGAAAAAGCAATATTTTTTTGCCTTTAAATGTATTGCTTATGGTTTTGCACAAAGAAATATCCATATCAAATATCAAACACCTGATACTGTGTGTTGGAGTGCGTCAAATAAGGCCAGAGCCACGTCCAGATAAGTCCCCTTGAGGGGTTTAAAATTCACATTTTTCGTTCCAGATACGCTGATGTTGTCTGCCGGGCAGATTTTTCTTGTAGATTGCGTGAAATATAACAAAGAAGGTGAAAGCCTTGAAAATTACTGTATTCGTGTATGCTCTGGCTAAGGTCAAAACAGAAAAAAAATGATGACAAGATTCAGGTTTTTTTTTTACCACAAATGTTTTGCTCCCAAGTTATGATTTATTTGAATCACATATGCCCGTCTTTGATGATTTTATTAATTAAATAAGTAATCTATTCATTATTTATTCTTTTGTTTGTTTCCCGGGGATGTTAACGTTTACAGAGACTGCAAATTCGAGTTTAAATGCGATCCATGTCTGTAAGTATGACCGATTAATAAACAGCCCTAGAAAGTGATGTTTTTTGGAGGCTTTCAAAATGGACAGAGTTTGTTGTATTCAAATCATAGAATTCTAAAGTGTGACGTCATAAAAACTAATTTTGTGAAATTATGGGATTTGTCAGGATATTCTGAAAGAACAACATCCAAGAGGCCTACTTGCTAAAACTAGCATTGTGGGGCAAATTGTCTCTGAGAAATTAGCCCAGTTATGCTCTGACGACTCCATACAAATCCCTTTAAATTTGACTTGGGTCTAGACCCAGACCCGAGTCAAATTTAAAAGACAAATCCTATAAATTCACCAATTTAATCATTGTTTTTATGACGTCACATTCTAGAACTCTATTGTTGGCTCATATCGCCCCATGAAAGGAAATCCAGGACAGTCTTGGATTCTGGATTCCACAATGTGGATTCCGGATTCCAGGTACTGGGTTCCAGTATCTGTCTGTAGAACTTGGATTCTGGATTCCAATCGTTAGTGGGATTCCGGAATCCTTAAGCTGTATTCCGGATTCCAAAAACAAGGATTCCGGATTCCGGACTCATTCTTGCGACTCATAACACCTAAGCAAGTCGTTGCTCCAAAGAGAATCAAAACCCAGACATTGTTTCTCCAACACGTAGTAAACGTAAAATTAATATTTGAGAAATAAAAAGTAAAGAATTCATAGACAATGAATTCAAAAATTTTCCTGATTGAATTTTCTAGGTTTTGCCGCATCACCCATGGCGACAAACTGTTTTTATGTGTATTGCTGCTGTTTATAACGGATAATTGTTATTTCTTACGTCATGTATCATGCTTGAATTGTCACAAGACGACAACAAACAACATTTAGTTATTTTGGTCGTTTTAACTTTGTAAAATTTTCAGCCAACTCTTTGCCACTGCCAAATAAATTTAGAACCCGTATTGAGCCATTCCTGCTATAAAAATGAGTATTTCCCTAAACCTTTCAACAAGAATCATTCCCAAGAATTAGAAAGATTAATATTCACAACTGTATGTAATTTTAATGAATAGATTCAAAGAACGGTCA